GCTGGTGTTTCGTCGGCGTCTGGTGACGATGTGTACTATGGGAACATAAAAGAAATTTTGGAAATCCAGTATCCCGGGATGGTTGGATTGTGGTGTACCGTATTCTATTGTGATTGGTATGACAACACCCCAGATTGAGGAGTGAAGACAGACGCATTTGGTGTTACATCGGTTCATTCTCGAAGGAAACTTCAGTTTTATGATCCCTTCATTCTTACTTCACAAGCTGATCAGGTATATTAGTTTTGTTTAATTCAAAAAGTTTATCATTTTTCTCATTATTAATTGAATAATTTTTTTTTTTAGGTTTGCTATATCAGATACCCCCAGGTTACATACAGAGACGATCCATGGATCACAGTGATGTCAATCAACCCAAGAGGTGGAGTATATGGAAGTTCTGATAATGACCCATTGCAACCAACCACTACCAGCAACGTTATTCCAACTGAAGATGTGGCAGAGGTTGAGCTCGTTGTAGATTTTACGGACTTTGGAGATGATGCTGTTGTACACTCGGAGGCAGAGGCAGAAGTTGGCGAGTTTGACGAAGATTCTGAAGATTCATCCGATGAATCTACTCACTCTCAAGATTCTGATTAGAAACAAAATGTTGGACTTGTTTTTTATGTTTAGTTGAATGTTTAATAAAAAAATGATGGACTTGTTTTTATTTTTAGTTGAATGTTATTTGCGGCCAAGTTAGTAATTTTTTTTTTAAAAAGTGAAACATATCTTAAAACTCTAATCTATTATCAAATACATGGATTCTATCAATATAAAATTGTGAGTGAAACATATCTTAAAACCCTATTTTCGTCGGAAAAACGTCGGAAAATACCGACGGATTTCCGACGCAATTAGGTTTCATTTAAGGTTTTAAAACCCGTCAGAAATCCGTCGGTATTTTCCGACGCTTTACCGACGAAAACTCTATTTTGCCAAGTTTTCGTCGGAAAAGCGTCGGAAACTACCGACGGATTTCCGACGCAATTACGTTTCGTTTAAGGTTTTAAAACCCGTCAGAAATCCGTCCGTATTTTCCGACGCTTTTCCGACGAAAACTCTATTTTGCCAAGATTTCGTCGGAAAAGCGTCGGAAAATACCGACGGATTTCTGACGACTAATTTTTAAAAATCCTTAACTATAATTATATGTAAATTTGTATACCGAAACTATGTTAAAAACACATAATAAGTGTGGAGTATACTACTTGATCGCAAACATTCGGGTTTTACGACTTATAAAATAATATATATATATATATATATATATATATATATATATATATATATATATATATATATGTATCATGGTTTCATAACATATCATCTTAATACTCATACACTTATACAATCATATTAATCCAATCTTTCTCTACAAAACGTTTTTGCAAAAAAATTGTTTTATGAAAACCTTTTTTTGGTGAAACCTATACAAAAAGTCTTTATGTTATCAAATGTTTGGGGTTTAAATAACTGAAACCCTTTTCAAATACATAAACCCCTAAACCGTCGGTATTTCGACGGATTTCCGACGGAATCTAAAATTTCATTTAACCGCGCCTTAACCGCGTGAAAATTTTTGTCAACCGCCAATTATTATTATTTTATTCGTTGACCGACGGATTCGATTCCGTCGGTATGTTTATAAATAAATTCATTTTTTCTTTTCTTCCCCATTCCTTCCCCATTCGCGATTCTCTCTAACTCCCGGCGCTTCCTTCTTCTCTCTAATTCGACTCCGGTGTGACTCCGACTCCGGCGTTCTTCCTCTCTTTGCCTCAAGTGTTCTTCCTCCCTCTGCCTCCGGCGTTCTTCCTCTCTCTGCGTCCTGACGATTCCTTCCTCTCCTCACGTCTCTCCTCTTGGCGGCGGCTCTGTTCCTTCACGGCGGCGGCTCGGTTTCTTCACGGCGGCGGCGGCTCTTTCTCCATCATGTAAGCTATCTCTTCCTATGTATATTAGATTAAATTAGGGTTTAATCCGGAAATTAGGGTTTTAAGATGTTAGATTTGATTGGATAGTTTAGGTTTAATTTGCATGTTTAGGATTAGGATTAAATTAAGGTTTAAGATGTTAGATTTGAGATTTTGAGGATTTGAGGTTGTAAAATCTTAAAGGTTTGATTTTTGAGAATTGTTTTTAATTTTAAAAAACGTTTTCTAATTAAAAAAAACGTTTTTTTATTTTTTTAAAACGTTTTTTGGGTTTTCCAGTAATATTGTAACTACTAAATATATTTTTATATATTTTATAATTGTATTTATGTGTTTTACAATATTTTTAGGAATATTTAACAAAATTTTCTATATTTATAAAGGTTTATAAATAATTTTTCTATATGTAAAAACCATATTTCTAATATAGAAAATTTTCTATATTTAAAAAGGTTTCTAAATAATATTAAATATGTAAAAACCATTTTTCTAATGTAGAAACCTACATTTATAAATTTTATATATTTAAAAAGGTTTTTAAATAATTTTTCTATATGTAAAAACAATTTTGATAAATATTTATAATCAATATTAGAATTTTAATTTATTTTATTGATACAACTTATATAGGTCGTTGGACGGCGATGTACCTCGTCTTTCTGCATCTCGACCTCGTCGTTCCTGACTCCGTGGCCGAGCTAGTTCGACGAGCACTTCCGCTCCAGCTGCCTCTCCCGCAACAGCTGCCTCTCCCGCTCCACCTGCCTCTCCCGCTCCACCTGCCTCTCACGCTTCAGCTTCTGCCTTTCCCACTGCAGCTCAACAACCCGAGCCGGGGGTTATCTCTGTTGACCAATTGGTTCAACAACCAGGTCGGGAGAATCTCCCGGTTCTCCATCCCAACCCACGATATAGATATACCACTTGGTTAGTTTTTTTATAATTATTTGTACTATCATTTTTTCTCCATTTAACTTTTCTAACTTTTTTATGTTTTTCAAAGGTTCGACAAGTCTGACAATGGCATTACCAAGAGCATCAACAGTATGATGTATTCCATGCTCCGTAACGGATATCCGAAGTGGAGTGTGATGCCGAGTGAAGAACGCGAGTTGTGGTTTCGCCAGTTCGCGGTAACTCTTCTACTATTTTAAAACATTTTTCTATTTTGATTTTTAAAAATATATATTTACTAATTGATTATGTTTGTTTTGTAGCAAGAGTTCACTTGGGAGTAGGGCCGTACGGAAACAATCCGTCGGAAGTTCAAGCAAAAGGCGGCGACCACTTATAGGAAGCAGATCTACCAGTGGAAGCAGTTATGGCTGAAGGACATGCGGCCAAAGTATATAAACGGGACGGTGTGGGATCAGTTGGTGGTCCATTGGCAGAAGGACAAGACTATAGATACGTCAGTTAAGAATTCAGCCAACCGGTTAAGCGATCGTGGCGGCAAAGGTGCTTTTGTGCACAACCTCGGCGCTTGCTCTATGTTCACTAAGGAGGACCAACTTGTAAGTTTCATTTTTTTTAATATATATATTTTTATATATTCTTTGGCTAATGTTGTTTTAAGGTTGAAGCAAACAACGGTAATCCCGTTGATCATCTTGTCGTCATGAAGGCATCGTACACGAACCAGAAGACGGGTGAAATTCAGGACCCCGTCATCAGAGAGGTCATTGAGATGGTGGAATCTCAAAAAGAAGATTTTCTAGCTTCTCAGCCTCTCACCGATGAAGTCGATTCTACGGGAGCTTCGACCACCTTGTCTCGGCTGCAAATAAACGAGATGGTCGAAAAGGTAATTTCTTTTTTCATTACTTAATTTATATTTTAATATTTTAATAACATTGAATATTTTGTAGGCGGTTCCTAAAAAGAAAGGCCATTTAGTTGGGTTGGCCCGTCGGGCTGATTCAATTTCGGCTTCTTCTTCTTCACAAGTCCCATTTGTTGATCCGCTGATTCTTGAGGAGCTGAAGAACAAAGATGAGCGGATTGTGGCTTTGGAGGTGCAGAACGCCACAATCCTTTCTGAGCTGGCGGATCAAAAGCAGACCAACAACTTAATAATGGCGAGGCTAGATCAGTTGTTTCCTCCGCCGGGTTCTACTTCGGGTTCGGGTTCGGGTTCTTAGTTTAAGTTTTTATTGTTTTAAAACTTTCTCTATGTTTTAATTTTCAATTCAAGTTTGTATAAACTTATTTGGTATAATATTATTAATTTTCAATTTCAAATTTTAATTATTTATCAAATTTTAATAATAGTAAAAACATTTAAAAATGCATAAATAATTTATTTTTTTTTAAAAAATAGAAATGTCCGACGGATACAAAACCGTCGGTATATTTCGACGGACGCATCTAGTCCGTCGGAATATACCGACGGATATTTTCGTCGGTATATTCCGACGGACTAGACGCATCGGAATATACTGACGGATAGCAAGCGTCGGAATATATACCGACGGTTTTGTATCCGTCGGAAAACCCGACGGACTAGATGCGTCGGAATGTACCGACGGTTTTGTATCCGTCGGAAATACCGACGAAACACAAGCGTCGGCATATTGTTTGACGACCGACGAAATTCCGACGAAATGTCGGTCGGAATATTCGTCAGAATTTCGTCACAATATTCCAACGCATTTTTTTCGTCAGAATATCGTCGGAAATTCTGACGGATTTCCGACGGAATTGTTTTTTCCGACGAATTTATACCGACGACCAAAATCGTCAAGTTGTCGTCGGAATATGCGTTTTCCGACGAAATACCGACGATTTTGGCCGTTGGTTTCTGCCAGTTTTCTTGTAGTGGGGTTTTGTGATGATTTGCCATTTAGATTGACTAGGTCCAGCCTGTCAATTTTCGTAAAATCTTAGTTGGTAGTCTTAGTTGGTTGGTGAGTGTTCATACAATTTTTATGTTATACTTTTGATGCCAATTTATTTTTACACAAGTTTTCTTAGTCTTATGATTAACTTCTATAGCATAAAAATTATATTTTGTCTGCTAATGTTTAACTATTTTTATATGTCACAGACTTATGTGGAGCTATGGTTGAAGTAGGTGATATTGCAGATATACAAGAAATGCAAGGAAATCAGAATTTTGCAGACAATCAAATCCGAATTCGGTATTCCATGATAGATACTGAGTGTGAGCTGTATATATTTATATTTTAAGTTTACAACACATTATATTGTCTAAGGTAACACATCATTTTTTTTTTTTGCAGTTTAACTCAAGTTTGGTGTGTTGCTTATGGATCTGTAGCTGAGAAGTTGTATCAATATGTGTCTGCTTAAAATGCAAATGTTTTTATTTGTGTTCTAAAGCTATGGCGATTGAGAGGGGTAATTAATGGTAAGTTTTTAATGAATTATATTACTGATAGAAAAATATTTTGTTTATGATCGGAACTGGATTTTTGAGTTTTATAGGTCGCTTTAGACATTTTAACCACTGTTGAAGGCTGTTCGGATATTTTATCTGATTCTCAGATTTCTCTAATAAAGTACTACAAATCAAAGTGAGTTTAATATGATTTCTAATTTTTTTGGTAATATATAACATTATCAGTAATCATAATTTACTATATGTTACTAGTATTGATGTTAATTTATTTTTTAACTTTCAGGATTCCATTCCATGCATTTTGATTCAGTTGAAGACTTTGATTTATTATCTTATGTAAGTAAAATGTAACAATTTATTTTTGGGTATTTTAAGGTGTTTTGCTACTTATGTGTTTTAGAGGGTCAATAACCTTCAATTTCCTTTATGCTGCAACTACGTTTTCTGAATTTTGAGATCAACAATTTTTTTCTATGAGTCAGTAATGGTTTTGCTATGTTATTGATCCATTGTGAAAAAAAAATATATAAAACATAGAAAAGAGTGCATAGCTGACAGAATTCTACCATATCTCTTGGAAGTTGATCTATATCAAAATGAATCATCATTTCAAGAGAACACATATACTCAAGAAAGAAGCAAGAGCAAAAAAACAATATTTATGTGTTTGGTTCTTATTCTATTTCAACTACAACCGACATAATGAAGAAATAAAATATAAAGTTGTTAACATACCTGGAAGTGTCATTGTGTTTGAAATTGAAGAGCCTCACAACATTCAGAACCATAAGAGTTGAGTTAGTTGTCATTATAGTGGAATTGCTCAAGTGCTTGCCGACCCTTGCTGAGTCTTGGGTAGATTGATATCGCAGAGGGAGAAACCCTAACCCCCATTCGATTTGAGGAAGTTGTTTTTATCGCAGGAGTTAGCTGTCGTTTAGTTAGTTGTAGGTTAGTTATGTTTACTTTAGAAATTAGTGGCTCTTTAACATTTTCTTGCTAATATTAGTTCAGCCCAATGCATCAAGTCCAATTGAATAATAAACTAACCCCATATTGACATATTATATCATATTGGTGGTTTATATTTTTTTTTCTAAGTTGGTTCTGTAATTTGATAAAAGAAATATAATTTTTTCGGTGAATTAGAATCATATTTTTTTTATTAAAATAGGAAAGACTATGAAATCTACAAACATAAGTGTTATTAGTGGAATCCGAACAGATAATCTGAAAAACCGAAAAAATAAAAATTTAAAAACTGATATAAATGTCTAAACTAATCATATATATAAAAATTTGAAACATAAATATTTACTTCATATATTCAATCTTATATTTTATTTTGATAATATCTAATCATAAGTATTAAATTTTAAATTAGTACCTTAAATATCCAAATCAATAAGTATTTGTTTCTCTTTTCAAATTTTAGGTATATCTTAACCTAACTAGTATAACCTGAATCCGAATGATATATGATTATTTTATGGATTATTAGACGTGATATAAAGAACAAAAATTGATGTGTTATATCTGAACCGATCCATATTTATAAATTTACCAGAAAGAGACCTAAGATGTAATATAATTTAGAATCGAAATTCCAAATACCCAAATCCTATCTCAACAGATATTTTAAAGCTCAAACCTAACTTAAAGTGTGTTTAATGTATTGTTCAATTATTTTTATATTTAATAAATATTTTACATGTTTCTTGGAATAACCCGTAAAACTATTCTCATAAAATATCAATAATAACATTTTTCATCATATCATTAAATGTTAGTAATATCTAATTATTCATATTTTTATCATATATATGTGTTTCTAATTTTAATACTCTATCTAGAAAAATATGTTATTATTATGTATTTGATGAGGGGTTTGAAGAATTTATTTCGGGTTTTTTTGCAAAATTGACTCACAACTCAAAGTCAAACACAAAACTAACTTCTTCTTTTGACTCATCTTTATTTTGTCCTATTCACCCCACATCTTCATTTTATCTACGAAAATGCCATTAATTTTTTTTTTGTAATTTTTTTTTCCAAAATGGCTTTTTTACTCTCTCAACCTCATCATCTTTAAGTATTTACAACATTGTCATTGCCATGAATACACCCAACAACCTTGTACAACCATTTTTAAGCTTTTAATGCACCTAAGATCGATTTACACTCTCTCTTTCTCAATTGTTATGAGCTAAAAACAACATATCTTTCACTTTGTCTCTATATTCATACGAAAAACCCAAGCTTTTGATTCCAACATCGAATGGTAACAGTATATATGTCACCCAGAGTTTTGTTAGCAATGATTCACTGCTTTTAGAGCTGCGGTTGACAGTAGTGAGGCGTAAGTTCTCCTTCAAAATATACAAGTCAACGAAAACTCTCCTTGTGGCAGCATGTCGGGTTAGTGGTTGTGGATGGAATATCAGAGCGAGCGTGAAAGATGGGACAAACACGTTTTGGGTAACAAAGTATGTGGAAACACATACATGCTCAGTGGGAGACTGAATCGCTCAGCGGAGACACTGTACTCCGAAGTATGTTGGTAGGCTTTTCATTGATCGTGTTGGAATCATTGATGGGTTAATTCTGCAGCATATCACTGATGCAATGAAGAACATGTTTGGCATGACGCTTGATTACACCACTTCATACATAGCACTTTTATATGCACAAACATTGGTGAGAGGATCAGCAGAAGATGGATATTCGCGTCTGCCATCATATCTCGAGCAAATCTCCTTAGGAAATCCCGATTCTACCACCGTATAGAACTTGATTCTATCAATAGATTTAAGTATCTATTTCTCTCTTTTGGAGCTTCTATCAAAGGTTTTAAGTATCAGAGAGAGGTCATTGTGGTGGATGGGACTCACCTAAGTGGGAAGTATGGAGGTGTTTTGTTAGTTGCAGCCGCACAAGATGGGAATTTTCAGATATTTCCATTGGCTTTTGCGATTGTAGATGTTATAAAATCAAATTATACTTAAATAATGTTTAATATAAACAGAAATAAACACACTTAGGTAAATTTTAAATATATCAAAACAATATTTATGCTTTCGAAAATCTAACCCTAAGAAACACATACAATACTACAAGATATGTTGGCCAAACCTAAACCAAAGAATATCATGACTCACTACTTTCACTCATCTATGTTGAAAACAATTAAATTTTGTTATATCTTAATTTATATCTCTTATAACATATGTTAATTACCTGATTTCAATTTTTCGCTTATCTAAATATTTTTTACAAAAATTTTAAATTATTTTTAAGAATAACTATACTAGACGACTTTCAACTAAGTCGTCCAGACGACTTAATTGAAAGTCGTCTGGATAGAATACTTACGGGGTTAGAAACGTAAAAAAATTTCGGGTTTTTTTGTTTGGTCACAAGGGGCTGTTGTAATTTCAATAGATTTTTAGGTTACTTTTGCATTTGATTCATGTTTGAGTTTACTTTTGCATTTGAAACCAAGTTTTGAGTCATATTTGGAAAATTTCTCATTTATTTCTTGCATTTGGATTAAAGTAAAATTGTATATAAACAAATTAGTAGGCAGATATAATTTCATATCAATAAAAATATAATTGATTACTTAATTAAATTTAGTGTTATATAGATTGAATTTATTATTTAAAAAAAATAGATTAGTTATTTAATTGTTTAATTTCAGGCTAATATATATATATATATATATATATATATATATATATATATATAATTAAGTTAGGTATTGGCAAAGATCATAGACAAAATGGTCCGGAATCGTATCATGGCCAAAAAGTATTGGGAGAAACCGCGCTTGAGGGGTCTAATCCAAGCCTAGTACCAGACACATACTTTTTTTTTTGGGTAATCTAGGGGTTCCCCACTTCGTGGGTTATTCCCCTGGGTCCGATTAGGCAGCAGTCCACTTCACTCGGGAAGGCTTTACCTGGGCTGAGGACGGTCCAACACCCAGTACCACATTTAGTGACAAGAATCGGCAGTTCGCCTCCGCCTGGCGTCGAACCCGTGAGCATGACAATTGGCTTACAAGGCTCTTACCAATTGGGCTACCTCATCCCGTCACCAGACACATACTTAGGTTATAGAATTACAAACTTCTTATACAAAGTTTTTGTAGATAAACATTTCTTCCATTGATGGTTAATAAATTTAACATTCCATAAAAAAAAAGGATAAGTAAAGTAATAAGAATGATAGTTAAATGTAATGGTTCAATATAAAATATTTGTAAGTAGATAAAAATTGTTTTTATTTTAATATTATTGATTCTTTTATGTTTGTATATATTAAGGTTTTGAATGTAATAGTTAAATATTATCGATATCAATGTGGATTACTCACTGTGATTAATAGTATTTATAATATAAATAGTATAAAGTAAATGTGGAAACATATGGTTTCTAAGTTTGGCATCAATAAAGTGTTTGCATAGATAACGTATAAAACGTGAAGTTATATTGTCTAAATTAATTTCAACGTATGAAATACAAAACCGAAAATGTTCAAAACTAATTTTAAAAATTTAAATGGGAAGTAAATCAGTATCACTTCATGATTTCTCATAAATTATTTGAAAATAAATTAATTTGTTAGTCATAAATATAAGAACGACACAAGTGTAATATTTAGCAAAAATTAAGGAGATATCAAAAAAAATTTTCTGTTTTAATAGTACAGATTTAATAAAAAACAGAATTTATTTAAAAATATAGATTAAAAATATTACACTGGCATGAGATTGTAAATACTTGCAAATCAAAAGGGTATCTAAAAAGGCTCTTCAGTTTTAATAGTATTGATTTTTTTTGCATTGGAACACATATATCTATATAAATTTTAACGTATGATAACATTTTAATAAACAAATAACTTTTATATGTCTAAAAAAATCGGTCTATATGAACGTAATAAATAAAATATTTCTTTTCCTAAAAAAACATATATTTCTGATTTTTTTTAAAACAAAAAAAATTCACATTAAAGTGTCTATAAAATTACACTTTAGATTGTACATATTGAGCAATAGTTGATGTAAAGAAGATTTACCAAATCCACTTAAAACAAATAAATGGTCCCATAAACAAAACAACACAAATAATAATGGTAAATGAAACGAAACAAATAATGATGGGTTTTGGT